TCCTTCTTGGTTTTATGTTATGGGTATGTGACTTATTTGCTATCAGTACCATTTGTGATGTTCTGTGCCTTATCAGCACTGACAGTACAGGTAGAGGGCTCAATCTGGCAAGGTTTTACACATGGGAATGACTTCAGTCAGACTACACATTTCCTACTGGCCCAGACAGGCACAATGTCATTGTGTTCCTAGAATATCCAGACTGGTGCATTGCACTCTATTATGGAGCAAATTCATACTTTGCAGATCACAAAAGCTATATATATAGCATGATATTAAACACAAAGGGAAGGATATATGGTTTCTTTAAAGGAAAGAAAACAAAGTTCATTACATGTTCCAGTTGTTCCTTGGAGTCCATTGTTTGGGGGGGAGGGAGAGAGAAGAGGAAAATATGCCCTGTCCCAAATACCCCCATTTTGTCCAGTTTTTGTGACCAGCTCTAGGAGAGGAGAGAGATCCCAAGCCTTTCAACCTATCAACAGCAGTAGGACACTAGAGCCATCTGAGGCAGAGACTGGAGCCATCACTAGCAAGTTACAAGACAGTAGTGACACCCAGATTATTTTTTTAGCGCTAATTGTAACAGACCTTCATCCCACACTTAGGTCCCAACCAATTGACAGAGTCTTCTTGTCTCTGGCTACAATGGAGCCTTGACCTCCTTGCTCTGTTGAGCAAGCTCATTCTAGTATGAGTTGACCAAGTGTCTGCCAGGTCCCTTCTCCAACAGAGACAGAGCCAGTTACATTTGAATGCCATGCTTTATCTCACTGGCTAAAGATGGCTCTGAGTTCATCCAAGGTGCTTCAACATGGTGTGCAGGCATAAATGTGGGATAGGCAGCTGGATGACTGATATTTTGGTGCTAGATAATATATGGGGAATCTTATGTAACACCCCAACATATGTCCATGTGCCAGTGATGTATTCAGGCACTTTTAGGACAACTGATCTTGGGCCCTGTGTGCCCATCAAAAGTTCACCATTGTGTGGTATTACAATTAAATGCAGGTAGCAAAAACAGACATCAAACTGGAATGAGAGAGAAAGTGAAATGCTTTAAAAATGCAATTTTAAAACAAACTTTTCAAATGTTAATATTTCTTATTTGGCAAAAAAATTATAAACTAGAACAACATCCTGGAGTTTCATCCATGTGAAATTTGAGACGTGGGTACAAATAGGAAAATAATAACCCTTGAAAAAATCCCCAAAATCCAAGTTTTCCATTCTGGATTTGCAGCATTTCACTTTTAAAAGATCTAAAACTTGGAATGTTTGTTCATTAAAATGCACATGCTAGAGGAGCACATTAATTTTTTTTATAAGGGGTTCATGGCCAGTCCCTCTTCTTCTGAGCCTGGTTGCCCTCCCAAATAAGGCCAGGGAGACCTTCAGCTCTGTACAACACCTGTGTCCTTCATTCTTTAAGTGTTTTCCCACCACCAGTGTCCAACTATATACAATCCTTGCTGGTTTCTCACCTACCACAGTAGGTGGGTCGGTAACCAGCTAGAGGACTTCCACCTCCCTCCCTCACTGACATCTCTCTCTCTGGCTGCCTCCTCCTTCCCAGCCTTTATAGCTCCTGGTCTATCAGGCTGGCAGGTGTTGCCAATCGACAGGCAGACATAAGGCTTTTCAACCAGTCCCAATCTTTCCCCCTTGATTGGGGCTAGCATGGCAGGGGCTGATTAGGTGTGTTTGAAGAAGCACCCTCCCACAGGGGATAATAAAAATTTGGGAAAAGATGAAGCTGTGGAGTAAAATAGGATATAATTTTGACTATATGTGCACAATTATAAGTGCCATATTGGGAAAAATTAATTTGGATTGCCTTGTTGTCAAACTGTCTGTAGTCACTCAGAATGTGGGTGCCAACCTCAGGGCAGACTGACACATATCAGGGCACAAACCCCAATTCAGTTGTGTGTTCTGTAGTTAGATTTCACCAACCAAGCATCCAGTGTGAATACCTCAAGCTCTATATCAGCCTTAGTCACAGACAGTCCCCTTAGAGACTCCAGTTTATCTTGCAACCCAGGCAAGCCTGCTTTTGTGATAGATGGTCCCTTATATCACAAATCACAACAATATTCAAGTTACTCCCAGTCCCAAAGGACCAGTCACTTGTCCCAAGTCAGTTGTACCTCAGATCTCAAACCAAAGACAACGGCTGCAGCCAATTCTATAATAAACTAACTAAAGATTTATTAACTAGGAAAAGGAAGTGAGTGATATTTACAAGGTTAAAGCTGGTAAACATACACACACAAATGAGATACAGTCTTAGGTTCCAAAAGCTAATAGCAGCTGCTATAATGTGCAAGCTGTAAATGTCCTTTAAGGCTAACCCAAGCTAAAAGCTGGGGACCCCTTGCTAAGGCTGCTGGAGAATCCAAATGTTAATTAAATGGCTGTTTTGTGTGTCCATTAGTAGTACTTATGTGTCAACAAAAGAATTCTAAAACTTAGTATATCAGTTTCAATTATGGTGTAGATCTGAATGAGTTTAAAAACTAATTTTACAAACACATATGTGAAACAGTGATTTTCAACTAACATTTTGACTGTGGGATGAGGTAGGTGAATCTGCTAGACAGTGTGAATGATCTCATAAAAACAGGCAGGCTGAAGAGGATTTGTTGAACATGGCTACTGGTGCTGACATCATTGACTAAAAACATAAGTCACAAGATGGTACTATAAATTAAGTTGTCTTTATTAGCTCTGGGCAGAAAACTAGACAGCTAGCAATAATAAATTGTAAAAGATTTACAGATTCTATTTAGTTCATATAAGCATCCAAAAACATTTAGAATGGATGTTACAATGAACTTGTGAGTAAAGGCCAAAGCACTTCAGTTAATATCCAGAGGTTCAGATATATGAATTGCTGTGCAATATTCAGGTATTGATACAATGGTATTTGTTAGATGTGACTTCAACAGTGTTAATCTGGAAACTAAAGGGTTAATTGTTACATAGGTCACACATGGGTTAAACTGGAATCCAATGAGCTATGGTGCCCCTGTTGACTAGACATACCTTGAACAAGTGAAAGGTGATATATTGTTGTAGGCAATGTTCCAACCTGCCCTTAGTGTAATTAATGGAGATAGCACAGGACCAAAGAGCAGATTGAGAAGTGTGGTTCCTTCTGTATGGTTAGACTGCTGTTTTGTTTTCTTAAGGTCTAGTCTTGCAAGGTATCGAGCACCCTGAACTCACATGTGGTCAACAGAGGTGATCAACACCTCACAAGAGCAGTCCTTATACACCCTTGCTATGTCCTTTTCACATTCAGATAAGAGTTAGAATTTTGCTAAAGAAATTCTCATGTTTCATCATTCGTCTATACAGAATAGTAACCACAGAAGCAAAACTCAAATGCCTCATGGTGTCATGAGAATCCCAAAATATATGTACCCAAATTCACAGCTTTACTGTGTAGTGTAAATAGCACCCTACAAAGGGTTGGTAATACAGGATAACCATACAACACACAGGAAACTTGAAGCCAAAGGCAGTTGTTTTCAATCTCTTAAGATATGCAGGAAGGAATCTATATAACTGTACTTAAGTTCACCATTGCTGTTAATAAAATGCTTGCTGTTCCATTTTGTATGGATGATAGTCCTGTCCTGTCCTGTGTAGTTATACTTGCACAATAACAATTTTTTTCATTCACACACATTCTTGTTTCCAAAATGACCATTGTGTTAATGTTATATATTTGATTATATAAAGGAATTTCAGTAAGAATTTTTAATGAAATTCGTAGGCAAATTGTTCCCTTTTCCACTTGTTTATTTATAATTGCAAAATTATATTTAGTAGAGATTTACTCTTACCAGGAATCATTTTTAAGTGCTTTTTAATATTTGCAGTTTGGTTTCACATTAATTATGGGAGAGTTTATTACAGGAGTGAAGGAGAGACTCAGCCAATAAGAATACAGTATACTTCAGTTAATATATGTACATTAGTCATATTTCTTAAAAAGCCAGAGGCCAAAATAGTCTAACGTGGGTGCCTAAAATTAGGCACTAAATCCATAGTGGACTATTTATAACTGGTCTGAATTTAAAGGTGGTGAATTTCCCTAACTCCTATTGGAAACTTTAAATGCATACATCAGTTAAGTATCTTTTGCTTAACTGCATAATTCCTTATTGGCTGTCCATAAGAGAAACTTAGGCTTGATCTGACCCCATGAGATTGAATGTGTTGCTATTCCATTTAATTATATATTAGCAATATATAAATCAATAAATAAACAACAAAAATGGCTAATTGCATAATTTGACTTTATGCATCTGAAGAGGTGAAAATATTGAACTTTACAGAGCAGTACATCCAGATTAATTAGGGGTTGGAAAACCTCATAAGATTTAGTCCACTCACCAGTTTATTTCAGACTGTGTAGTAAACGTAAGGGCTAATTTCATCCCTGGTTAATGACATTTAGATGTATAAAAACTGGGCCCTGATTCTCCACTGTGTTACTTCAGTTAAACTTCAGTGGAATTACTCTTGATTTACATGAATGTGAGCTGAGAATCAGGCCCCAGGATTGTGTGACATGAAAGTTTTCTTTGTATTAGTTTGAAGAACATGCAAAATATTAAACTTAGCATCTAAAAATTCAGTTCTCTCAGATTCCAACCATGCAAGGTTCTGGGAATCATGTGATTGACTTCAATGGGAGAAGAAGAACCCATCACCTCACATGTGGTACTCTGTACTTTTCAGTATTAGGCTCTAAATGCTTAATTGTAGGAAGCTACTTACTCCAGTAATGTGCATATTCAGGGGCTGATCCCTTGTATTATACATCAGTAAAGTGCAGTGTATATATTGCCCATTCTGGCAGCTCACATGGCATGTCTATTTAAAGCTATTGTTTTACTCTATACTTATCCAAAAGGAGGTAAATTATGGGTACTTTTTTATACACTGCTCTTAAATATAATTATATCTCTTCATTTTTATAGGAAAAATGAAGTTTAGAACTGACTCTTGACACGTGATGCACATTTGGCAGGAGGCCAAGGCGGATCAGAATAAACAACCCGAAGACAATGCCAAATTCAGGAAAATAAAAGTAGCTTAATATGATTTAATACCAATAAAGTGGTTAAGGTTAGTGGAAACAATCTTTGCTCTTTTCTTTTCCCCATAAATTAAAAAAGATTTTGTAATACATTATAGCTCGTGTAGCTCGCTCTAACTAGGGCTATCTGTTATGGCCAACCAGAAGCTCTCGCTTGTCCAAATCATAGCTGTCAAGCTCTTGAGCAAGACTAGTCACAGAATACATGTTGCAATGATGCTTTACATCCTCCACTGGCACCAGTTTGAGATTCTGGTCCTGTTTTTAAAATCCTTACAAGGCAGGTATCATTCTACCTCAGGAACAGTCTTTGCATTCATGAGGATGAGAATAACTTCACTCACGAAGCATATGGAACCTAGACCTGCCTAGGGTGAGACTGGGGATAGCAGTGAGAAGAAAACTTCATTCCGCTTGCAGAGGGGATCGCCAAGACTGAGCCATGTTGACAGGGCAGTGTACAGAAGCTTGTTACTGTGGCTTCTTATATTATACTTCTTCTTGGTTAAACCAGAACTTTCATAATTCCTACATTCACTTCAAGAAATTTAAAAAACAAAAACAATCCTCATCCTTCTCCCCCATCCTGTTCCTTCAATTTCATAAGAACCATCTACTCCACAAAAGTTCTGTATCTTGTATTTAAATGACTGATTATCTTATTGCGGTGGATTTCAAACTACAGCTTGTGGAATGCTGGTTCTCCATGGAGCACTTGCTGGTGGTGTATAAAGAGATAGCTAGTCACAAGGGATTTAGGTATCTACTTGGCACTTTAGGCACCTAAATCCAAAATTTAGATTCTATAAACCCTCACTCAGCTGCTGCCTAACCATGAAGGATCCTACATTTCCCTATGTTTCCACAGGTAAAGTCCCCTAGAAGTCTCCCAGTGAGCATGTGCAAAGCCACCTAAGTCATGGCACCCAGTGCCTAGCTCATGCCTAGCCTCTGGCAGGATTTACAAGCTAGCAGTACTCTCCACCTATCTCCACCTGTGGGTCCTGATCCGATAGGAACACTCAGAGGGTACCTTAGAACATGTCTACTAAATCAGGCCCTGTACAAAATGTAAGCAGAGATGTCCCTTTATAGCAGTGGTCACTGTCTCCTGGTGAAACTATTCCACTTTGGATAACTAAATAAATATTCATTTGGCCAAAAAGAGAAAGCAAGGCTGACTAAGTGGTCAGGGCAATCCCGGCAATGTACAAGCACCCGTTTCCAGTCCATGTCAGCCAGAGTGGAGAACAGCCTGGATCAGTATTCTAACCACTTCGATAAAAGGAGAGGCTCTGCTTCATTTTTTTTTTTATGACTTGGCTTAGGTGCCTAACTCCAGGAGAGGGCTCATGGCTGTGATTCCCAAGTGGAGAGAGATGCCTCCCTCTGGCCCGTATTTAGGTGCCTGAGTCCCTTTGAGGTACAGGGCTTAAGGCCACACCTCTCTTCTCACCATTTTCTGTTAACTAACTTAGGCAACTCCCCACTGAATGTGCTGTTTTTTGTGAATCCCTAACTCTTCCCACGCCTCGTATAGGGAGTCTAGGTGCCTAATTCAGGGTGCTGGATTCCACTAAGTGACAGTACACCTAAAGTTATCTGTTGCAACATTGGGTCTAAGGCCCCTTTGTGGATCTAGCCCAAGATGCTAAATATTCTATCTACTTATTTAATTTAAAAAGGTAAAAATACATTAGATACTTTACTAATATTGCTTTTCCTTTAAGCAATTGCTGCAATTTCCCTCAAGAATATTACGTGACGATGAATGGGCAGGGGGGAGGGGCGAGTTAGTCGTGCAATAACAAATGGATGAAGATGTGTCCATGAGACAGTCTTTCTAGTTCATGCTAAGAAAAGGTTTGAGAACTCCTATAAACCAGCTCATTCAATGAGGAGTCACACTTAAAACTCCAAAACCCCTTAACTTAGATTATGTGCTCTTTCTCTGCAGGAGACACAATCTGTTTGACCCTCACAGATACGAACAGCCAGAAATATGACTACAATATAAACTGTATTGCCCTCTTTTTATAAAGGAGTAATAATATGATAACAATAAAGAACTGATACTAAGACCTACCATCCCAGATTCTTGGATATCTATGTAATATAATAAACACTATACACAGTGCATTTGGAGATTAACACGACTACTCGATAATGATGTCAGTGCTGCTACAATATCAACATTATGAAAAAAATCCAATGTAATTTACTCTCCATTTGAAGATATGATACAATTTTTAAAATTCTTTACATTTAGTTAACAAATTAGACCTCCAAAAGCTACTTCAGTTTCCATTTAGCTCATCTGATGTTTAAGATCAGATGACAGGCATCTGATTTCAAAAGTCTACTTCTTGTTCTTATTATCATCATTTCACATGAGCATAACTGCTTTTATGTAATGTATAATTTTAAGTACAAAAACTGTAATGGCATTTCAGCAACTCTTTGAAAGTAGACAGTTACTTTCCCTGAATTGTGTTAAAATCTGTTACAAGTCAGAGGATATATCCAAGAAGTAAGGGTGGAGATTTTTACTGCATAGCATGCATGGGTTAAAGAAGAGGAGGAAAAGAAAAGAGAATTGTTGGCAGTACTCTGCCAAACTTTCAGAATTAAACTCAAAGCCAGACAAAACTTTCCTGAGTTATGTTTCATTACAGCCTTGAAAGTTGGACCAGCATCATTGATGTTTAAGTGCCTAAGCCTGTTTCAGTTAAATCTGATCTGATTTATGGTTTCAGATGTAAACAGGTGCAAAGCTTATTCACCTTGACATAAAGCTAAACTTAGCAGTTTGGACTGAGTTCTGCTCTGAAGTTTTAGGATGAAGTTATGAAAATTTCAAACTGAAATTCAGGCTGAGAACCAAAACCAAGAAAAAAACAAAACTTCTGAGCTTCATTTGGGGCTGATAATTATCTAATATGACACAATATGAGAAGTAAGACAAGCACACAGGAAGGAAAGGAGTTTCCACAAGACCGGCCTTTCCAAGAGCAAGCTAATAAAACCCACCATCAGTTTTAACATGACAATAAAAAAGGGAGTTTTTTGTAGCATGTAGTAAGTTTTAAGGAAATATAAACTGTAGCTTTGCATTACAATTATACTTGCTTTTTAAGATGCATTGTAGCTTCTATGACAATGACCTTACTGAAAGGATAAGTGGATCTTATTCTGCACAGGGTAACTACAGCATTCCAAACCCTGCCTGTATACAAGGCCACAAGTGCTCTGGCCAAACTATGCAGGAATAAAACCAGCTCACAGTCTATCCAAGGCCAATCCCCGAAAACCAAAACAAATGCTGTACCACCCATTCTGTGCAGTACTGGGCGTTGTGGAAAGCTCCTGTAAATGTAACCTGCTTCCTGTACTCTACATTTCCTTTTACTCAGTCAGTCTGTCTCCCCTTGCTGTGACTGTGCTGCCTGTAGGAAGCTGGGACGGAGTAACCCCAATGCACAGCTTTATTGAGTGGGGAGACAGACCAATTTTCTGTTAAAGAATCTCCTTCTGTTGTGGGAAGGGAGCGCTACCACTCAGAGTCTTGGGGAAATGGGGGCCTGAAAGAATTAGATAGGGAGGTGCCAAACCAAATTGCAGGAATCAGATGATGGGAGACTCAGAGAAAAAGACTTCCAACAGTCTCCCCTCAAATTTTTGTTCCCTTGTCTGGATGAGAGGTGCCTGCAACTTGCTTGGGCCCTCTCTTTTTCCTGAGTGACTGACAGGGATGAAGTGGAATGTCAATCAGCTAGGGAGAACCTGCCTCCATCTTTGAAAGTCAGAAAACACACTAATCATACTCAGTGCATTTCCCAATGAGCCCAGTTGCAATCAGACTTGGTGGCGTCTGTGACTTTCCCGGGGGAAGGGACAGTCTTGAGTGGATAATGTCTGAAACAGCATTGTGAAGCTACCACCAATAAAGAAGTATCCTCTCAGAGTAGGGAGCAGTGTACAAGTCACAGTAGCCACAGAGGTTCACAGAGTCTCTATTGGCCACAAACCAGTGAAGCTACTTTTCTGCTGGACAGATGCTAAGAAAAATAAAATAATTTTATCTGTACTGATAATTTATGAAATTAATCTTATATACCATCACTGTGGAAAAGGTTATTAGTTCTACAAAAGCTATTATATTCCAGCACTTAGACATTTCCTATTGCAGCAACATATTTGTATTAAATTATTTTTGGAATAAAGAATTAACTGGAGGAGATTTTGATAGACAACATTTTAGTCAATCAAAAATTTTAGCATTCTGAACACCTCTCTTTTCTTTTTTCAAATGATAAGTAAAGAAGTACTGTATAGTTCATTTTCCATCCTTTTGTTTGTTCCATAAGTAACTATATAAATTCTGTAGCGTTAGCAGCAGCATCAATAAAGGTTTTCCACACATTTATGTAGAAAAATAAAATAAAGATGTTGGGTGTTTTTCTTTCCTAAATATATGAAGTAGAAAGCAAGAAGAGAGAGAACACTTTAGCCATGAATCAGTTCTTTCACTTGTGGGGAAAGAGTAATTTACTTCACAGTATTTGTCTTTTGTGTAATAAAGGGTAAAATGCTAACTTTTTTCTCTTTTGTTTTACAGATGAAGTTTCTTAAACTCTTTTATGGAGGCTGGTTAACAATGACATGGATTTTTGAGGAACAATTCCAGAGCTTTGACTGAATGAAATATTCTGAAACCAAAAGAAAAGCTTGGTCTTGATTATCTATATTACAGATTAGCTTGAAGGAAATAATTATTACCAATCTGTACCATAATAGCTGTACTTAACTGCAATGTAACATTTAAGGTCTGTGGAGCAGGGGATGTCTTTTTGTTCTGGGCCTGTACAGCATGCAGCACAATGAGGTTCTACTCCATGATTGGGGATCCTAGATGCTCCCATAAAATAAACAATAATACAGTAATAATAATATTTATCTTATTCTATTTGGATTGTTGCTTTAATTTTATTTTTGATGATTTATCATTAGCTCTTGGAGCTAAACTGTCAAAGGCTCATATATCAGGTGTGCCACTCCCAATGCAGATATAGTCCTAAGGCCTGACTCTCATCTTGTAGAAATATAAGGCCCCAGTTTGGTAGTCAGATATGTGTGAACAGTACCTGGGGACTGTGCAGAGCCCACTGACTTCAGTGGAGGTCCAGACAGGCATAAAAGTCAACCCACACAGATCTGATTGCAGGGAAGCAGCCTTCAAACAGAAGTGACTCTGCTGAAGTCAGATGGAGTTAGACCTAGGTAAAACAGTGATGTAAGCAAAAGGGGAATAGGACCCATAACACACACACATGTGCACATTCAGCCAAAGAAATAAAACACCTGCATGTGTAACCCACACACCTTCTGGGTGTGGTGTTCTGTCCCATCTAATGGCACTGAGAACACTTAAAGAGAGAGGTAAAATGAGTCTTCTCTACAGCCTTAGCTAAGAGCCAGTTGTCTTTTAGCTCATGTGGTAGAGGCTCATGCACTAAGATCCACGGTTCAATCCTGCCCACCAATGACAAGGGTCTGTTGGCATTACACATGCATATGATACTGAGGGATACGTAATGGGTGGAGGACATTTTGTGTCATTTTAAATATGGCCATTTTAATCAGTCCAGTTGTTTACCGACATCTCTTAGGTGTAATGAACACATAGATATCAAGGAAATTGAAGTTGGTTCATTAGAAACCTTTTCATTTTTTATAATTTTAAAATTACAATCAACAGGAAAAACATACCAGATTCATTGCTGATAGGTGAAGTGTGACTTTTCCAATATTTTAAGATTATATTTTATTAGTTCAAGAAAAATATGGTTATAGAAAATATATATTTACCACTCCTTAAAAGATTTTGCAGAATTTTCTGTCTTCTCTCTGTTTCTTTCACATTATATTTTACCTTTTCTGATATTTATGCTTTTTGTTTCACATGTTCAGCAATCACAATATATCTCTTATACTCATGGTTTTCAATCAAAATATATTTAAAATTGTATTTAATAAATACCTTTAAAATAGTGTCAACAGAATTTTATTTTTGTTGATATTTCTGCCTTCACTATATGTTGAAATGTAATTGGTTTGTTAGGGATCAATCCTACATTCCTAATTCAAGATAAAACTTCCATTGAAATCAATGAGAAGTCAATTGTCTTGATTTCAAGGTTGAGCCTTTAGCTTAGTTTTATGAGTGTAACAGAGCCTTAAATAATTTTTCTTACCATTGTCTGTCTGAACATTTTGTCAGTAATTAATATGTATAATTCCAAATTTTGTAATAAAATAAAGTGCATACATTGTTAAGACATCTCTCTGGTCAGACTTTTCATTAACTGAAGTCCTGGAGTCCCCAGGCTTTTAACCCATCTCTGGTCTTTTGCAGGAAGTTAATTTGGTGATGAAGGGGGGTGGAGGGGTTGGTATATGTAGTCCTGATTTTGAGAAAATGACTATTTTGAACTTGAGCTATCAAATGGAAAATGCATCTGGATATTATGGTGATGAGTTCAATATATGAACCTATATAGAATAGGATAGATACTACAGTGATGGAGGCATTAAATATGGATATAACAGATCAGGGGTGGCCAAACCTACTCACTCTCTGAGCTGCATACAAGAATCTTCAGAAATTCGAGAGCTGGGGTACACCTGGAGGGACTCAGGGCTTCAGCCCCACTCCTGCTGAAGCCCCGAACCCCAGCAGGTGCACCCCACAAGGCTGTAGCCCTGAGACCCTCCTCCCCACTGGGCAGAAGCCCCTATCCCACCACCCCACTACAAGGCAGAGGTCCCGAGCTCCCCCCACCAGTCTGGTAGGTAGAGAATGATGGGTGGGGGCGGGGGCTCTGTGAGCTGCACTTTAACTGTAAAAGTGACTCACGAACCACAGTTTGGCCACCCCTGTAACAGATGACATTAAGTAAAGTATTTGTAAGATACACAATGCACAAGATAACCAGTTTGACATAATGATGTTTATTGATGCGGGCAATATATATTGATACAATATAAAGAACATACTGAAGTTCTACCTTTATATCAAAGTATGCGTTAAATTCTGGTGTATCTTGCACATACGTTCATTTCAGAAAAAACAGTGTACAAGCCTGTGTTACGTCAGGAGCACACAATGGAATATGGCTGCCTCCATTCTGGCTCTTCTGAAAATAAATGCAGAAGCTGCCCGCAGGGCCTTCCCAACAAGGGCATGAGTAAGGGGTAAGGAAGAATGGTCCATAGGTGTAGGCATGGCTGTGTACGTTGACCATACAGGGTCTCACTGTATGGATGAGACGATAGTGTTCAGTGGAGGGATTTAGGTTTATTAGGCACTGGGCAACCTTTTGGGAGAGGAGGAGCCTATACAGGGAGGATGGGCTCCACCTAAACCAGAATGGAACCATTCTGCTGGCATGTAAAATTAAAAAGGTTCTAGAGGTGGTTTTAATCTAAGGGCTGGGGAAAAGCCGACAGGTACAGAGGAGCACATGGTTTGGACAGAGCCATCCCTTAGGGGAGAATTTATTAAAGGGGATGCTCTATATCCTAGTATAGAGGAGAGGATAGAAGTTGATAAAATACAGGTAGGAAGTGAAGAGAAACAGTCAAAATGAAAAGGAGTCCCATCCAATTACATCATTTGAAGACAGACACCAAAATATTGACAAGTTTTATAAGTGTTGATATACAAATGCTAAAAGTATAAATACTAAGATGAATGAACTTGAGTGCCTGGTATTAAATGAGGATATTGATATACTAGGCGACACACAAACTTGGTGGAATGATGCTAATCAATGGGACATGGTAATAACAGGGTACAACATATGTAGGAATGACAGAATAGGTCGTGCTGATGGGGGTGTGGCACTATATGTGAAAGAAAGCCTAGAGTCAAATATATCAAACTATATCATAGAATCTCTATGGATAAAAATTCCATGCTTGAATAATAAAAGTACAGCAATTGGAACATACTAATGATCACCTCAGCAGGATGGTGACGGTGATTGTGAAATGCTCAGGGAGATTAGAGAGACAACAAAGACAGACAATGCAATAATAGTGGGGGACTTAAACTATCCTGATATTGACTGGGTACACATCACCTCAGGAAGGGATGCAAAGATAATATTTTAAACACCATAAGTGACAGCTTCTTGGAGCAGTTAGTCCTGGAACTCACAAGGAGAGGGGCAATCTTTGATTTATTCCTAAATGAAGTACAGGATCTGGTCCAAGAGTTAAATATAGCTGAACCGCTCAGTAATAGTGACCACAATGTAATTAAATTTCACATCTTTATAAGGGGGGAAATACCAAAGAAACCCACCACAGTAGCATTTAACTTCCAAAAAGGGAGCTACACAAAAAAGCAGAAGCTAGTTAAACAGAAATTTAAAAGGAACAGTCACAAGCATGAAATGCCTGCAAGCTGCATGGAAACTTTTAAAAAATGCTGTAATAGAGGCTCAAACTTAAATGTATACCCCAAATTAAAAAAACAAACAGTATGAGGACTGAAAAACACAATGCCACCATGGCTAAACAACAAGTTAAAAGAGGCAGTTAGAGACAAAATGACATCCTTTAAAAATTGGAAGTCAAATCTTACTGAGGAAAATAGAAAGGAACATACACTCTGGCAAGTGTACAAGTATAATTAGGCAGGCCAAAAAAGAATTTGAAGAGCAAAAGACACAAAAACTAACTGTGATGCTGGCAGAGTAGATGCTAGCTCTTGCCAAGGCTTTCGGCCTCAGCCACGCACTGACAAATCCATTACTGGAAACCCATCTGTTTCACCAGTGTGTTAGTATGGTTAAGATGGGTATTGAACTTATACCAATGTGTTTAGACTTTATGACATGCTTGTACAATGTTGCATGCATTAATCTCACATATAATTTCTTTATCACATGCAATAAAGTAATATTTAAGTTTTTTGCTTTGTAACTGTAAAAATTGTTCGTCACTCGGGAGGGATCATCTCCTGCCCATCAAGAAGGCCTAGCAAAACAAAATGGGCCATTGTGGGACACCACAATACAAATACTTTGTTAATTGTCCCTTTACACTCTTGAAGAGGCTAGGAGCAAAAGGGCTTGTCCCATCAGGTTGAATTCTGGAAGAAGGAAACAAAAATATCTGACTGGAACATTTTTCATCTCTTTTGCTTTTTGGACTCTCACAGAAATGGAGCTAATAAACGGAAGCAGAGATCCCCAGGTCAACCAGGATTAGCCCAAAAAGACATTCAGAACTGACAGATTACTACAACTCTGTCACTTTTTGAAACCATAGACTGTAACTCATCTGTGTATACATGTTTTCCTGTTTTAACTTTGTAATAACTCTCTTATTTCTTATCTTAGGTAATAAATCCTTAGATAGCGTACTATAGGATTGGCTACAAGTGTTGTCTCTGGTGTGAGATCTTAGGTACAAATTGACCTGGGGTAAGTGACTGGTCTCTTGGGATTGGGAGAAACCTGCATAGGTGCCGACCCTGTGGGTGCTCCAGGGCTGGAGCACCCATGAAGAAAAATTAGCTTAGCACCCACCGGCAGCCATGCTCCTCCCTCTCCTCTCCAGCGCCTCTTCTCCACCGCTGGCCCCACTGACCAACTCCTCCCCCTCCCTCCAAGTGCCTCCTGCCCACAGTGAGTAGCTGTTTCGTGCCATGAAGGTTGGCTCCGGGAGGGAGGGGGAGGAGTGGGGATGAGGCGTGCTCGGGGGAGGGGGTGGAAAGAGGTGGGGAAGAGGTGGAACGGGAGTTTGAGGGCGGGGGTGGAGCAGGGGCGGGTGGGGGCAGGGAGGAGGGGTGGAATGGGGGTGGGGCCTGGGAAGAGGGGCGGGGTTGAGCACCCCCCAGGTAGAGGGGAAATCGACACCTATGGCAACCTCAACATTTTGTGATCTTTGGTGTGTAGTAACCATCTACCACTAAGTCCACCTGGCTTGGATGGCTAGATAGACTAAAATGCCCAAAGGGACTGTCTGTGACTCCATGGTAAGACTGTCATATTGGTTTAGGAGTTCACACTTGTTATTGGGTTGGTAAAATCAAATTATAGATTCTACCTGAGGTTGGCACTCATGGTCTTGAATCACTCCAGATAGTGTGACATTACCAGCAATTTTAATTATAAGTATATCAGATGCAGGAAGTCTGTCAAACAATCAGTTGGGCCACTAGACGATTGAGGTGCCAAAGGAGCACTCAAGGAATATAAGGCCATTGTGGAGAAACTAAATTAATTCTTTGCATCGGTCTTCGCTGCAGAGGATGTGAGGGAGAGTCCCACACCTGTGTCATTATTTTTAGGTGATAAATTGGAGGAACTGTCCCAGATTAAGGTGTCAGTAGAGAAGGTTTTACTACAAAGCGATAAATTAAACAGTAATAAGTCACCAGGACTAGATGGTATTCACCCATGAGTTCTGAAGGAACTCAAATATGAAATTGCAGAACTAACAACTGTGGTATGTAACCTATCGCTTAAGACATCCTCTGTATCAGATGATTGCATGATAGCTAATGTAACGCTGATTTTTTTTAAAAGGCTTCAGAGGCGATCCTGAAAATTACAGGTGATCCAAACTACAGTACCATGCAAATTGTTTGAAAATATAGTAAAGAACAGAATTATCAGACACAAAGATGAACATGATATGTTGGGGAAGAATCAACAGTGTTTTTCTAAAAGGAAATCATGCCTCACCAATCTATCAGAATTCTTTGAGGGAGTCAACCAGCATGTGGACAAGGGTGATCCAGTTGATATAATGTACTTGGACTTTCAAAAATCTTTCACAAGGTCCCACATCAAAGGCCCTTAAGCAAATTAAGCAGTCATGGGATAAGAGGAAAGGTCCTCTCATAAATGAGTAACTAGTTAAAAGATAGGAAACAAAGGATAGGGGGAAATTGTTAGCCCATTGCTTCCTACAGCTCCCATTGGCTGGGAACTGGCGAACCAGGGGGCCATTCCTGTGGATGGTCAACGTCAGCAAAATGTCTCACTGCCCGCAATCAGATTACCCTAATGGGCCGCATGCGGCCCACAGGCTGCAGGTTGCCCACCACTGCTGTAAATGCATGCTGCTCTTTACTCAAGATGCCAATCTAACCCTATGCAACTGTGTAGGGAGTATTCACATGAGTAATGATGCTAGGATCTGGCCCTATACTTGTATTTATCTTTGTGCTATTATTGGGTGTAAAAAGTCTCACCTCAGATACATGTGCACGGCCCCCTTCGTAAATGAGAATTATAAGAGTGGATCAGACAGTAAAATTTG